TGGACTTCCTGATAGTACAGAATTACAAAAGTGCAGCCTTGAAGCAACAAATACATGGACTAGTTTCTCAGCATCAACCCTAGACAGGATATTTCTAATTGTTTCCATATTCCGCAGATGAAAGAAGGACATTCTAGAAACCTCTTTGATATGGGATTTAAATGACAGGTCCTCATCAAAAACCAGACCAAGAAATGGTGCTCTGGTCCAAAGACTATAACTTCTGTTTTGTCTGCATTGAAAAGGAGAAAGTTAAGAGTGATCCAGGTTTTTATGTCTTCGAGACCTGTCTGTAATCTATGTAATGGGTTAGCTTCATCTGGATTTATAGACAGATATAGCTGGGTATCATCAGCATAACAGTGGAATTTAATCCCATGCTGTCTAATAACTGTACCGATTGTGAGCATACAGTGGTCTGCAAAAGTTTGGGCAAACTTGTTAATTTCCATGATTTTCCTTCATAAATTGTTGGTTCTTAGGATAAAAAAAATCAGTTAAATATATCATACAGGAGACAAACACAGTGATATTTGAGAGGTGAAACGAAGTTTATACCATTTACAGGAAGTGTGCAATAATTCTTTTAACAAAATTAGGCATGGAAATATAAAACCCAATAAAAGCCATAGAAAACCCAATAAAATCATTAATGCTAAGAGCAGGTGGAATGGACGGTTCAACAAAGCTATGGCTCTGGGTGAGTTTGGCAACTGTATTAAAAAGATATCTAGGATTGTTCTTATTCTTCTCTTTGAATGAGGTCTTATACAGCCTAGCATTTTGCTTCAAAGTGTGCAGCTCTGCATTAAACCAAGGAGCCAGCTTTCTATTTTTAACGGTTTTCATTTTCAAAGGGGATGCATTGTCTGAGGCAGTATGCAGAGAACTAGCAACCCCATCAACAAAGTCATCAACCCGTGAAGGGGAATAAATTAAGCTTTTGCACTCTGCAGCACTGCTCAGCCACACAGAGAAGAGAGAAATTAAAACAGATTCTTTAAAATTTATAACTGCACTATCTGATAATGATCTGCTAAAGTGAAACCTTCTTTTGGAGAAGGAAAACTCAAAAACAATCCGTAAGGTTATTAAAAAGTGGTCAGAGAGGACAGTGTTTTGAGGAAATACTGTTATTTCTTTACATTGTATGCTCTGTCAGCGCAAGATCCCATGTATGAAGATGAGAATGTGTGGGACTATTCACATTTTGAACAAAGCCCATCAGGTCTAAGATAGCATGAAAGGCTGCTCTTAATCTATCACCTTCAATGTCAGCATGGATGTTAAAATCTCCCACTATGATTACCCTGTTAGTATTTATTTAAATG